ATAGAAATGAAAATTTTTAATAGTAAGGGACATTTGAATTATGTCCTCACAAATAATTTAGGGACCCATCTTTATCTATAGGGATCCCAAGTAAGTCAATTGGATCGATATTAATCTCTTTAATATAGCAGTTATATAGGGTTGACCATGTAATAGTATCATTTTTGATTAACTGTTGGAGATCTCTATGGCAAATATGAAGAAGAACTTTTACACAGCAAAATTCCTCCCATTGAGAATCCTCTCGTAAAGATGACGGATGTGGCCAAATGTGTATAATATTTTGATGCTTGCATTTATTCCAACGACTGTTAACAAATTTATGGGATAAGTTTAATCGAAACAGTGAAAAATTTTCAAATTCCGCAGGTCTGTCCCAATATATTTTTAAAGATGATTGTACTGTTCGTCCAACATCCTTTATTGCGCTAAACCTATCTCATTTATTATTGCCTGTACCATGAATCCACCTAGATGCTTCCTTATTAAAATTTAAAAGAATAAATAAATAACTCGAATAGTAAAAAGAAATGCTTAGAAGAAGATGGCAGGTCTCTTGTGCAGAGATATCTCGCTCTGCAATGCTATAAAGTAGGAGTCTCTGAATTGAAGTAAGTGGTAGATTATCCAGTTTGCTATCATGGAGAATCTGGTTAAATATTTCAGTGAATGCTGCTGATCGAGGTTCTGCTTTACTTGCATATTTCGAAATATACTGTAGAGCCGTATGAATACTAAGAATAGGCTTTAAATCGACATTTGCCCTTCATCCCTGTAGTTGAAGTCTGTTATGTGGGTTTATATATGGGTCATTTCTTGCCGTTACAAGTTCTGGTTGATCATGACCATCATCGTGCACCAATGTATGTTCAATAATATCTTTAGGATATCCAAACCTACAGGTTTGTTGGCCTGCTCGATTAACACGAAGACAATAAGCAGGACTACATCGTGTGTATCGTTATAACTTATTTATTAAATCAATATAATCTTGTAGATCATCACACACTTCATCATGGCCCTTTGACATGGATGGCGGTCAGGAATAGGAAAATCAGGTTTCGAATTAATCGTAGTAACTAAATCCTTGAGATATTTTATTACATTATTCATTATGTTCTCATCTTCCTTCATCTGACTCCATTCGATCGTAAGTGCATTTCGTATTTTTCCAATACTGTGTACGTGGACGCTACCACGATGCTGCCACTCATATCTGTACCACCAATCTACTAAATTCAACTGTTGTTTTAACACGTCATGAAAAAAAGTCTCAAAATGCTTGTGAAAAAACCAGGAAGCAATGTGTGGATTGTTAATAAGGTTTTTGTGACGCTTCGCAGATTCAATCTCTCTTTCAGAGTTTTTTACTGATGGCATTAGGGCATGGAGCTCGGGCCAGTGCAGATCCGCTGAGCTTAATGTGAAGAATATCATTTCATCTGAACCTAGCTGTTTAATCATGTCTGATAACTCGTAATGTCGCGCCTTCCAAAATTGTTGAAATCCACATAAACTTTTACCAAAATGCATTATCCGATTGGCCATGTGTTTGTCACCTGTCTTAATCTTCTCTTGGATGTCTGTAACAGTAAGCTCATCATCATCTAAGTTCTGTTTGACATACACTTTTCCTTCCTGTAGTGCATGCCATCGCATCTGGGAATTCAATGCGAAATATCGCCAACGGGTATGATGTGCGAATCTCCCATCTTTATATAGAAGCAAATGTTTGAAGTATTCTGCTGGGTTAACATCTTTAACATGCTCTGCACGGAGATTTGCATGGCCAGTTGGATAGAGAGTTGGGAATGCACACGCGATGTAACCTGAAGTCTGAAACTCATTTATAGGATGATTATTAATTTGTGGCCATGTTATAGGTGAATTTTCTGTTCGTATACGACCAAGTGCATTATCAATAGTGACTTCTTCGCGAAGTGACGAAGGAAGCAAAGGAACGAAAGTACGTGTAATCTCATTATCTCCGCTTTCATTATTATTTAAATTTTCATTAATTTGATCATTTTGAATTTGTGGAAGCTGGTCAATTATGGAACTATTGTCAGGCAAGGATTGGAGAACTTCATTATTAATAGAAATATCTTTATAGTAGCGGTTATTAGTTTTTAACTGGTATAACACGTGAGCAACCTTAGTACGACGAACAGTAAAATCTCTAAATGCTTCTAGATTACTTGCAGATTGCTGGCGCATAACAAGTATTTCTAACGATGATGGATGATGAGGTAGTTGAGTAACAAACTCTTGTACGTCTTGGGGGAAATTTATAACATTTCCGTGATATCCATATTGGCCACCACGAAGTCTGTATACCGACATTACAGTAAAGACCTTCGCGATTAGCATCTCTTCAACTTCTGTTAGATCTTGAAGCTCTTCAGGAACCTCGCCCGGATCCATGTTATTTTCTGCAGAAAACTTGATTGGCAAAGCCTTTTCAGTATAGCAACGACAGCACTTTTCCATGATAAGTACTATGGATGGAAAGCATTCATTACAGATAGGACAGAGAACATTCTGAAGCTTATTCATCTTAGTACAAAATTTTTTCAAAAGATCTCGATCAATCTCACTAAGATTCGTAGCTGGGAATTGTTTTAACCTCTGTTGCAGATCTGTCTGATTGGTTTCTGATACTTTTCGTTGGTATTTTTGAGGTTCCTTAGTAATTTTATCTAAATTCTTTTTTTTTCTGCAGTTACGATTAAGACACGTTTCACGATCCTCCGGGGTTTCCCTTTCGAATTTGTTTTTTTTTCGTTTACGGTCCTGACTAAGACGATTTTCGCACTCTTCAGCACTTTCCATTAATCTCCTTTGACGTTTTTTTTCACGTTCGTTGATAAGACATATGTTATGTTGTTCGATTGTCTCGTTTTCTTTATTTTTGCGTTTTCTAATCGTGTCATTACTAATATATTTATTACTCATTTTTTAGTATAAAAAAAAAACAAGATTTATTAAAGCTGATATGTAAATAATTAGGTAAGTCAAATAAGTATAATTTTTTATAATTATTCGCGTTCTAATTAAGGCATGTAATTTAGGATAAGATAGTGTATGCTAAGCGGTGCGGTCTGATAATGACAATCGTGTAACCAGGCACAAATTACATTTACGAACGTCGATGCTTATAAAAGGTGTGTGCTATAATTTTCTGTTTGATTTTTACTTTTAAATAAGTAAACTTACGTATTTCATTCCGCTTAAGGCTTACGAAAACATGAGTCGTTTCTATAATACAAAATGTTCAGTGAGCTAATTTTTTTTTTTCAATTTTCATTACCTTCATTTTTTTTTTTTCGGTTTTCGTTATCAGGTTTTTTTATATTTTTTTCGTTATCAGGTTATTTTTTTTTCGTTTTTATTATTTTAGTTTTTTTTTTTTTTTTTTCGATTTTCGTTATCTTCGATTTTTTTTTTTCGGTTTTCGTTATCAGGTTTTATTATTATTTTTTCTCGGTTTTCGTTATTAGGTTTTTATTTTATTTTTTTTCAGTTTTCGTTATTTTTCGTTTGTTTTTTTGTTTTTTTTCGATTTTTTGTTACCTTCGATTTTTTTTTTCGGTTTTCGTTATCTTTGGCTTTTTTTTTTTCGGATTTTTAATAAGTAATGAGTGAGATTGGGGAAAAAGTAGTGATGTGTGAGAGTATAACATTGCTGGAGATGGGTCTAGTTCTTTATTACTGTTATGTTTAGCAGATGAAGGGAGCTCCGGAGGTTTTTTATTACGTTTTTTTATTTATTTTTTTTTTAAACTTTTTTTTTGCATTTGAAGATATGTGCTCTTAATCGATTAACACAACTAACCGCCAGTAAAAGGGATATTTTGAAATACGTAAAAGTAAGTATTCATTTATTTATTCAGAGTAAAGCGTAGGAGATTATAATAATATTAACCAATCTATATTATAGAATTTCATTAATAAGTTTATTAAAAAGCAAGTAAATTTTTTT